GGTAGCGCAAATAACAGACACTTGTGGTATATGTCGTAGCTGGACGAGGCCTGGAGCAAAAGCCATAATGAGTACAAATTTGCCCACGATGTTTAATGAAGAAGTCCAGATTGATTTGTTGTTCATTTTGGACAAGGTGATTTTTCATATGGTGGACGTTTGTACGCGTTTTTGTGTGGCAACCGTGATTCCAAACAAACTTACTGACACGCTGCTGGAGTGTATCCAAAAGCATTGGTTGAGCCTGTTTGGTCCACCAATGGCGATTGTAAGTGATCAGGAAGGTGGACTTGCGTCGCCGGCAGCAGCCGCCTGGATGAGTCATCGTAACATTAAGTTCGTCCCTAAGGCTCGCTACGCTCACGCAAATGTAGTTGAAAGACATCATGCGTTGTTACGGCATCAATTCCACTTACTGCGAGATCAAACCATGGCCGATGGCATAAAGGCGTCTTTTGAGGCAATTTTGTCTGAATGTGTGTACGTTAAAAATGCCATGATGCGAATTGGAAATGCAAGTCCTTACGAAGCGGTAATTGGACGAGTCCCACACTTGTTTGACGTAGTTGATGCTGAAAGTGGACCTGACATCGAAGCAAAAGACGCTGATCGCCTGAGGGCAAAGAGCATTCAGGCGATGGTTCAGGCAACTGCCGCTGCCAAATTAGAGCGGGCCACTAAACATAAAACAAGAGTCACAGGCGAGCTTCTTGAACTGTCTGTCGGTGAACAGGTAGATTTTTGGAGGCAACCTGCCACAAAGGACCATAGCGGATGGTTAGGTCCAGCCACGGTCGTTGATGTGAGCACACTGACACAAGGTCACATCACCATCAGGTTCCAAGGCAAGGCGATGCTGTGTCGAGTGCAAGACTTGCGCCGCTCCTTAATGTACACTGTGCTGATGACCCATGAGCCTGTATCCACGCCAGTAGGAGTGATTCGGCATGCCGCTGAGTCACTAGATAGGCAGGTCGTACGGTTGGGTTGGTTCAGACAGCAAGGAGTGTGGCGAAGCTTCGAGAACAATGCTCGTCTTCCTGTTGAGGTCATCGCTGGACTCCACATGGCCGCTTGCAACCTGCAGTTTAACGGGGTAATCTCATTCAGGTTGGGGAACTCTGTACCAACTCTGGCAGGTGTAGAGTGTGATGAGTCCTTGTTGCTCATGTGGGACAAGGGCCATCTGGATGCGTGGTCAGTAGCGTACATTCCTGGGTCCTGTTCTGTAAACTTTGAACGCATGCTTGGCCGAAAGTGCAACGACGTGGCATTCGTACAATTCTTTGCTGTAGATGCTGAAACTGTGTTGTCGCTGAGACAACATGTCCAAGACATCCCAAACATCGGTGGAATAAGCGATCCGCAGCTTCCACGAGTGCAAGACATCACCTCAGCGGTAATGCAAAACCGGCGCCAGCGTGCAATTGAAAATGCAAGGGCCACCGATCAGGTTGGGCCTGAGGAGTTCGACATTGGAACGCCTCGTGAGTCGCACGGTGATGCCACAGTCCAATCTGCGTCTGAGTCATCCGACACTTTCGAGCCAACTGCTGATGAGGATGAGTGGTATCAGTTTTTGACAAGACCGCCGGAGGTGTGTCGTCATAACGTCGGTTCAAACATTTACATATTCAACGTAAGCGAACTTCTTGATGAACCTTTGCAAATAGAGTTCACCAGCCAAGCAGCAAAGTATTTGGTGTGTTTTCGTGACAGCGTGAAAGAGGACGAGACGGTGTCGATGAACTTTGAAGCACCGTTGAATCCGGTTATTGAGCGTGCCAACAACATTTTGACTAGACAAGAAGCCTTGGAAAACGCGGAGCGCTGTAGAAAAGCAATGATAAAAGAATTGCTGCGGTGGAACACACATCGCGCGTGGCGCAGAGGGCCTCGTGCTACTGCGACTAATGCGTTGTCTTCTAAATGGGTTCTCAAGTGGAAGATGATAGAGGGAACACGCGAAATTAAAGCCCGACTTGTCGTGCAAGGTTTTAAGGATGTACAAGCTGTACAAAACTTTGCCGGTACAACGTCTAGATGGGGTCAACGGTTGGTGCTGATAACTTCGGTGCAATTTGGTTGGGGATTGACATCGGCAGATGTTGCCGAAGCCTTTTTAAGGGGCCTTACATTTCGTGAGCTTTTCGAAAATGGTGAGGACGCTGTGCTTCGAGATGTACAATTGATCCTGCCGCCAGGTTCTGCTGAGCTTATTCAAGCCATCCCCGGCCTCGAAAGCTTCAACTGTGATCGTGAGGTTTTGTATTTACTCAAGCCAGGTTTCGGACTCAAGGATGCGCCGCGTCTGTGGGCGTTGGCTTTGAAGCGTGTGTTGGCGCAACTGGAGTTGCGTCCTCTGCAAGCCGATGCACAGCTGTTTGCCAAGCATTCAAATGGAAAATTACTTGCCTTGTTATCGATACATGTAGACGATCTCAAGATCACAGGTAACGACAGCGAGCGTGCCGCCATAATTCGTGGTTTAGAAAAGGAATTTGACCAACTAAAGGTAGAAAATGACTGTTTTGAGCACTTGGGGTTAAAGCACTCACTTGAGTCAGATGGCACCCGGGTGCTGAGCCAACAGCACTATATCGCCGAACTTAGACCAATACCCGATGCCGATTTGAAAGTAATGCAGCCTGAAGCAGAAGTATCACCGGAAATTGCACGACTTTATATGTCCCTCCTAGGTGGAGTTGCATGGACCACGCAAACTAGACCTGATGTGGCAGTGTTTGTATCCGCGCTACAAAGAAGGCTAAAGGCACCACGTGTACAGGATGTTGCCAATCTAAACAGGGTCTTAAAGTATTTGAAATTAAAACCCCTATGCCTGAGGTATAAGAAGGTTCCCAGACCTTGGAGGTTGGTGGTAGTCACTGACAGTAGCTTCAAAGGAGAGGGCCAAGAACACCTTGCAGTCCGATCCGGCGTGATAGCGCTTGTGGACCGTGATGGTCCCTTCACTGGAACGAATTCCATACAGTTGCTAGATTTTGTATCCAAGAAGCAGAGCCGCGTGTGTCGCAGCACATATGCTGCTGAGCTTTTGAGTGCCTTGGATATTGCAGGTGCAGCTATGCAGATAAACTCTGCTATGTCTGAGCTGCTGCAAGGTTGCATGAGTGCCAGTCAACTGCTATTCAAACAAGAGTCCATGACCCACGCTTTGCAGCTGGATGTTATTCTGGATGCTTTCAGCGTTTGGACAAGTGCTTGTGCCGAGGATGTCAAGTGTACCGACGGAGCAATGATGTTGCATCTCTTGGCGTTTAGGGAGCTCTTAGGTAGGGGTATTAGTCGCTTAATTTGGGTTGACACCAGAGATATGCTTGCAGATGCGCTCAACAAAGGAGCGATCGACAGATCCGCAATCCGTACTGCCTGTGCGGACGCAGTGTGGCATATTTCCCAAGAAATCAAAATCCATGTGTGCAAGACACGTGTAACAGCTCAGAGAAGTGACAATGCAGACCGCGGAGCAAAGCTCTAGCACATACAGCCCGAGTCAAGATTTAACAGCTCTACTTGGCAGGTGCAGCACATCTTGTGCGACCTCAGCCTCCCGGTTCAGAGAACTTGCAGTGACATTTGAACTAATTAGGCCCATTGGGTTGTTTCCAACGAGTGGATCACACAGAGTCCCTCTTGACAGACTGTTCATACTTGAGCCCTTTGTACGAATTCATTGAAGGCACATAGCAGTGACGTATCATACTCCACCTTTCGGCAATGGCGCTGAGAAAAGGGTCCGATGCATTCAATCGACCAATTCAATTGGGGAGAAGTTCAGAGCATCAAGTTGGAGCAGCAGGCAGGACTCCGCATTCCAACTGAAGGACCTAAGATTCGGTCTGTTAGGGTTCGGATTCCTTTACAAGGCACCCCGTCTAAACACAACAAACAGGGCAGCCTCTTTCCTTCTTAGGCTGCCGGCTTGTGGGACAGAAGTCCCTAAACCAAGAACCCTAAACCTTAGGCTTAGGGTTTAGGGTTTGGGGTTTGGGGTTTAGGGTTTAGGGTTTAGTAAGATATAAACCCTGAGGCTTAGAGGTTTGAAGCTCGACGGCTTCTTAGGGTAGTTACATGGTCCATTAGAATGGGCCGGGGCCCTTAAAAGGGCGCCCCTCATAATCTCCCTACATACTTTATTTTATACAACCCAAGGACCCATACGTCAGAACTCTTGAAAGAGGGTAAGGGGCCATATTCAGTGCCCGTGAACCTACCCGCGCTTGAAGGTTCATGGTACTCATCAACCAGTTATGTCTGTACTTAGAACTGTACTTATAACCCACTTAGGGCACTTAAGGGGGTTTAGGGTTTAGGGTTTAGAGTTTAGGGTTTAGGGTTTAGGGTTTAGGGTTTAGGGTTTAGGGTTTAGGGTTTAGGGTTTACAAGTGGGTTAGAAGTACAGTTATAGTTGGTTAATAAGTACCATGAACCTCCAGGTAGATGGTTTCCTAGATGACTCTGTGGGCCGCAGCCCCTGAGTTCCAAACCCCTCAACCCTAACGGCTAGAAAGACCCCGAACCACCCTAAAGCCCTACCAGCATGGGTCTATGACACCCCTAAACCCTAAACCCTAAACCCTAAACCCTGAACCCCAAACCCTAAACCCTAAACCCTAAACCCCACTAGTCTCTTAACAGGGCCCTTTTAGGCTTGGTTTTGGGGTTATAGGGCCGAGTCACCCATCCTGGTAAAGCCATCTGGCATCCCAAGCCCAAAACAAAGCCCCAAACCCTTAGAAGCCCCAAACCCTGAACTTTTAGGTCTTAGGGCTAGGGGTTTAGGGTTTAAAGTTTAGGGTTTAGGGTTTAGGGTTTGGGGTGCAGGGTTTAGGACTTAGGGTTTAGGGTTTCAATTAAGCTTAGGGTCTAGGGTGTATAGGGTTTAAGGTAGGGTGTACAGAGGGTTTAGGGTTCAGGGTTTAGGGTTCAGGGTTTCGGGTTTAGGGTTTAGGGTTTGGGGGTGTCGGGCCAGTGAGGTGGGAGGTGGCGGTGCATCTGTCCGGCGCTGAGCTTCCGTCCTGTTTCGTTTCGGGTTTAGAGTTTGCTTGGGGTGTAGGGTCTTCGAAAGAGGGGACATGCAAAGCATATATTTATGTAGACTTAAAAAATCATGAATAAAAAAGTATTAATATTAATATTCATATTAATATATTAGTTTTTATTTCAATATTAATATTAATATCAATATAAATATTAATATTTATATGTATATTTATATCAATATTAATATTAGTATTAATATTAATATTATTATTAATAGTAACATTAATATTAATATTCATATTGATATTAATTTTAATTTCAATATTAGTATTAATATTAAGATTATTTTTAAAATTAATAGTACCATTACTATTAATATTAATATTCATTTTTAATACTACTATTAATATGAATATTAACATGGAAATTAACATTAAGATTAATATGAATATGAATATCTATATATATATATATACATATGTATTAATGAAAATCTCAGCATAACATAGATAGTGCCGCAACGTACGGTGCCGTACCATACCATACCATGCACACATACGTACACACAAAGGTGTCTCCCTCTCTCTCTCTATATACACATGTGCACATGGTTTGTCTGAATGTTGGTACTTATATTGGGGGGGAGGCCCTTGTTTTGAGGGACCCGACAGGGACCATAGCTTGGAACAATCTACTGCTGTGCATGCAAATGTGGTCTTATGCGGGCCTGATGTTAGGGCCGAAAGAGCGAGAAGCCTGCCATGAATGAGTTCTTGGTGAATGGCTTCGGGTTTAGGGTTTAGGGTCGGCTGTTGCAGACGAATAGGCTCTCTGACATAGCAGGCTGCCACGACCCGAGGCGAAAGCCTGTGTCGGTCACCAGGCCCACGCCATAGAGCTAGGCTCTACACTGGGGCTCAAGGGTTTATGTGCAAACCTTCTAAACCCTGTACGCCCTATAAGCTCCTACACATCCTATAGACCCTATGAATCCTATACACTAGATAAAACCCTACAACCCCAACAATCCGTGAACAGCACTCACAAAAAAAAAGAAGCTCTAAACCCTAAACCCAGCCTGGAAAAGGTAGCCAGGGGACGCTCCTCTGAAGCCCGGGACGAAGAGCCCCAAACATTTCAACCCGAAAGCTGGCCGCTGAAGCCTAGATCATGGCTTAGGTTCTACAGGGTGGGGCCCCCTAGTTATAAGTAGAGTTATAAGGGCCCTAAATTGGGTTATAAGGACCCTAAGTTAGGTTATAAGTCCCTTAACTACAGGTAGTATAGTAAGGGGGCCCCACCCTGTAGGGTGTTACTATATCCCCCTTGGGAATAAGCTTCATTTTTGTTTTAAAAAAATCCAGGAGGAGATTAAACATGTTGTTTTCATTAAGGTTCTTAAGGGGAGTATAAGTTAGAGTTTGGGGTTTAGGGTCTACGGTTTAGGGTTTAGGGTTCAGGATTTAGGGTTTAGGGGTATCATAAACGCATCCTCGTAGGGTTTTGGGTATTAGGGTGTTAGGGTTTTAAGGTGTCAAGGTTTTAGGGTTTCGGGGTTTTGGGGTTTTAGGGTGTAAGGGGGCCTATGCCAGATTTTAGGGATCCAGGATATTACTAAGCAGGCCCTTGGCGGACTTTTTTTTTTTTTTAATGTCCCCGGCCCCCATCGAGATCTAAGACTTAAGAGGATCTCGGTTCGAACATTTTTTTCTGAGGGTTTCAAGGGTACCTCCTGAGCCCTGAACCTAAAAGCCCTAAACCCTAAAGCTACACATAGAGTATGCATCGTTCCGCCCGACAGTTCATGCAGAGAGGCTCGACCAGATGGCAGCCACCATGAAGGTAACCCTGCCGGCCTTGGCCTCCGCCGTGGCCTCCTGTAGAGGTGCTTACTTAGGGTTTAGGGTTTAGGGTTTAGGGTCTAGGGTCTAGGGTTTAGGGTTTAGGGTTTAGGGTTTAGGGTTTAGGGTTTAGGGTTTGGGGCTTAGGGCTCAGGGTTCAGGGTTTGGGGAGATTAGGAACAGGGGAGAGGAGCCTGAGGTTGAGGGTCTTGGGGATTATGAATTTAGGGTTTGGGGTTTCAGGGTTTTTAGGGTGTTTAGGGTTTTTTGGGTTTAGGGCGCTTAGGGTTCGGGTGTTAGGGCTCAGGGAACTCGTGGCTTGGGGGAACACAGGTTTAGGGTTCCGGATTTGGGGGGGTTGTAGGGTTTGCCTAGACTTGTGGGGTTTAGGGTTTAGGGTTTAGGGTTTAGGGTTTAGGGTTTAGGGTTTAGGGTTTAGGGTTTAGGGTTTAGGGTTTAGGGTTTAGGGTTTAGGGTTTAGGGTTTAGGGTTTAGGGTTTAGGGTTTAGGGTTTAGGGTTTAGGGGTCCGTTTCAGAGCTGGAAGGGGCTTTGGCATGTTGAGCGGGTGGTGAGCTTCTCGCAGGGAGGTTTAGGGTTTAGGGTTCGGAAATGTTCTGAACGCAGAAGGGTCCCCTTACATGTTGTTGGCAAAGAAGGTCATTGATCTCCTTCCCGAGAAGGAAGACCCATATAATGTAGAGCTACCGAAACGCAGCATCGCTAGCCAAGACTGCAAGATCTTTTGAGAACAGCGAGGAGGGGCTAAGGGCTTGAGGTAGAAGGGGGTGACCCCACAGGTTCTGAGGTTCTAAACCCCAAAGTACCTGACCCAACCCCTAAACCCTAAACCCTGTAACCCCCATGAACCCTATAAGCCCTACACCCTATAATTAAACCCTATATGCCCCAAAACCTATCCAGCCTCGAACACCCCGGCTTCTGAAAAGCCATGAAGATCCATCTTGCACCTAAACCCTAAACCCTAAACCCTAAACCCTAAACCCTAAATCCTAAACCCTAAACCCTAACCCCCAAAAGAGTACCCTCATTAGAATGTGATTTGTGGCATGGAGGTCTCTAGGAACTCCACCCTCTTGATCATGTGCAGGCGGCCAATGGGAAGTGGTGGGCGAGCCTAGCTTCCTCGCATGCAGCAGCTCGAGAGGGACTTGGGAGGGGGATTAATCAGGTTTAGGGTTTAGGGTTTAGGGTTTAGGGTTTAGGGTTTGGGGGTTTAGCGCCCACAAAAGAGCGTTCGGAGGGGCCGCCAAAGGCCAAATCCTATTCCATACAGGGCTTGTACGCGTAGCTGCCAGCTTCTAGCCCAGAGGGTCCATTTGTGGTGCCATGATGGAGTTAGGTACCCAGCAAATCCCATTGAGTAGCGTTTTGGGTACCATCAGGGTACCATAGTACTACAAATGGACCCTCTGGGTAACACGAATGTACCCTAACTAAGCCCAAAACCCTAAACCCTAAACCCAGGGTGGCTTCCTGATGTGGCGGAGATCGCTCATGGCCCTATTTATATGCGCGGGAGGACATCACGACCTCAGGAACATCAGATTTGTGCCAGGGCCGAACTGGCACCTCCCTGCGCGGCCGCTGCCCTCGTCCACCTGCTCCGACCACTGCGGGGCGAGACGAGGAAACCTGGAAGGCGTACCACGACCCTTTGCCGTGGAAATTTCTGGCGATTCCTTTAGAACTAGCCAATCCGCAGTGGCTGTCTTGTCTTTCTGGCCCTCATCGAGAAGCTCGTGAAAGCAACCCAAATACTTGTTTCAAACACCAACCAATCGGGAACGTGACTCTAAACCCCCGAAGGCAAGGTGGCCCCGAAACCTTAAACTCCCTAAACCCTGAACCCTAAACCCTAAACCCTAAACCCTAATCCCTAAACCCTAAACCCTAAACCCTAAACCCTAAACCCACTGTTAGGCGTGAGTTGCTGCGTGCTTGGAAGGGAGCTTGGCGAGGAGCCAAGGTCGAGAGTTTGGCCCAAGGTGGTGAAAGGGTTTAGGGCTTTACATTTAGGGTTTCAGGGTTAGGGGTTAGGGTTTAGGGTTTAGGGTGTAGGGTTTAGGGTTTAGGGTTTAGGGTTTTAGGGTTTAGGGTTTAGGGTTTTAGGGTTTAGGGTTTTAGGGTTTTAGGGTTTAGGGTTTTAGGGTTTAGGGTGTAGGGTTTAGGGTTTAGGATGTCCCCGCAAGATGTGCTAAACCCTTACGTGTGGAACCGTAAGCCCTAAGCCCTAAAGCTTAGCCAAGCCAGCTTGCCTTTCCATGGTGCTTACCACTCCCTATGCACACCAGGAAATCATGAGGGTTTAGGGTTCCCTGAACAGGGATCGCATTTAGTAGGGGGGGGGGGGGGGGGGGGGGGGAGCACTTGTTGGCAAATGTCCATTTAGGGCAAAACCTGAACCTCACCCAAGACTTCAAAGAGTTTCGGGTTTGGGGTTTAGGCTTAGAGTTAACCCTGCATACCTGAACCCTGCATGCTCCTGAAGTCCTTTCCCAGAGGGTCCATTTGTAGCATTGTAGTACTATTACGGAACATAGGCACCCCAAAAACAAGATTTGGTATCGTTTTTGGGTACCTCATTCCATAGTTGTACTACAGATGGACCCTCTGAGTTAACTTGAAGACTGCCCGGACAGGGCTTGCTTTCCCTAAACCCTAAACCCTAAACCCTAAACCCTAAACCCCAAACCCTGAACCCTAAACCCTAAACCCTCAACCCTGAACCCTAAACCCTAAACCTCAAAGGCCTTGGCCCTTGTCACCTCTTCTGGGCAGCTCAAGGAGCGAAGAGTCGGGGCTTGGGCTTGGGCTTAGGGTTTTTAGGGTTTAGGGTTTAGGGTTTAGGATTTAGGGTTTAGGGTTTAGGGTTTAGGGTTCACAGGGATAGTAGATGTGCCGTGTTGGGTCTTGTGATTCTCAGATGAGGGTTCAGGCGGGTTGAGAGCCGGGCCGAGTAGTTAAATAGGTAGGTGAAAGCATGGGAGAACCTAAATCCTCCACCCTCAACCTAAACCCTAAATCCTAGCCCTAAGCCCTAATCCCTAAGTTTAGGGTTTGGTTCTTGTTTAGGGTTCAGGGTTCAGGGATCCTTTTGGGCTTGCTTCAAAACCGACCCCGATCATTCCAAGGCGTGTGCTTTCTCTGTGAATCCCAGGCCACCCGCTTGGAGGTTCACGGTACTTGTTAGCCAATTATAATTGTACTTACAGGGTTTAGGGTTTAGGGTTTAGGGTTTAGGGGTTAGGGGTTTAGGGGTTTAGGGGTTTAGGGGTTAGGGGTACTTAATAACCCACCACTTATAAGCCCCTTAAGTGCCCTAATAAGGTTCTATGTACAGTTGTAAGTAATTATGGTTATTAATTTGTTAAAAAGTAACATGAACCTCCAAGCATACAACCCTTCAACAGAACCCCTAAGGCCCTGAAACAAACGGCCACAGGGTTTAGGGTTTGGAGTTAAGGGTCTAGCGTACAACTCCTAAACCCTAAAACCGAAAGTCCAACACAATCCTTAACCTCAGCCCTTTTTGGGAGTTTACGAAAATAAGAAAACACCCAAAGATAGAGCCTGCCGTCACTGCTGCGGCTGCCCAATATGATTCGGCCGTGCCTGACTCGGACTGTTTCGCAGTCACCGCTTCCCGGGCCCAAAGTCAGCTCTCTGCCTCCCTTGGCAAAGCGCAGTTGGCATCCCTTGTGGCCTCTGCTGAGGGTGAGTCTGCCCGTGCCCCCACCTTCAACTACTTTAGCAGCCTGGTGCGGGGAGCTGGCTACAAGCCCGCCCCTGTGCGGCGCTCGGGCTTCACCTTGAACCCCATTTCTTCCGTCCTCCTCCGACTTCGCCTGCGTTTGCCGGTCGCTTCCTCTGATGGCTTTTGCCCGTTGTGCGACGGCATCGCAGACAGGTTTGGGGACCATGCCCGCTCCTGCCCTTGCGGGGGTGACCGCTCCAAGCGTCACAATCGCTTACGCAGCGTGGTTGCGGCCCGTGCCTCAGCTGCTTGCCTCAGCCCAGAGGTTGAGAAGGCCGAGCTGCTCCCTGCTCGGCCTGAGGACTCAGGTGCGTGTGGGAGATCATCCCTGTTGTTCCAGGCCGAGTGCCAGCGCCCGGCGCCCGGCAGATGTCTATGTCCCGGCCTGGGGCCTTCATGGTGCGGCGTGCTTTGACCTCGCCGTCTCCAGCGGTTTGCGCTCTTCTGTCCTTGCCGCTTCCGCTTGTGACGCTTCTAGTGCTGCAGCCGCGTACGAGAGCCGCAAGCGATCCCACTGAGGCGCAGTGCCGTGCGCAGGGTCTACAATTCCTGCCGCTGGTTGCTGAGGCCTGCGGTGGTGGCAGGGGGGCTCAAGCCACGCAGGTCTGGAAGTCCTTGGCTGCACTTGGGGCGGCGCGCTTAGGGCTTACCTCGGCCCAGGCTCATGATGAGTTGCTCCAACAACTGGGAGTCACCCTCCAGCGCGAGAACGTGCGCGCCGTACTAATTACGTCGGTTTGCCTCTGAGGAGGCCTTTGCCCCAGCCCTCCCGGAATGTTGGGCTGCCTCACATGCCACATTGTCATCACGCCACGGATGTAGTCGCCCACCGCACGGCTTTTGACCTGACAGACCTTTCCGCCAGCTGCGTTTCTTCGTGCACATGCCGTAGCCTCTGCTTGGGTCCGTCAAGCTCTTGCATCATTTTCAGACCCATTGGCAAGCGTGGTGCTGGAGTTCTCGTGGGACGCCGGAGACTCGTGCAGGTGTCGGGGGCTTGCCCTACGGCCGACCATGCTCTCTGCCTTAGTGTGGGATGGACGCATCCTGCATCGCCTGGGCATTTGCCGGTAGCGAGTTAGGCTTAAGAGGACCAGTTTTGTCCCACCCTCAGAAGTAGGCGTGGAGAGGACAGATGAGTTTCCCTGACACTGCAACTCAGGTTTCGAGTCCCGATAGACCCCCAAATAGTAGGATTCCCTTATATTAAGGACCTCAAGAATGCACCCCGAATTTCGGACACCCCCCAAACCCTAAACCCTAAACCCTAAGCCCTCAAAAGTCCGGGGAGTCCCCGCGGCGGCACCGTCTCGCGAGGACACCGAGCTCTGGAACGCCCCGCCCTTACAAGGGATTTAACGGAATGGTTTAGGGTTTAGGGTTTTAGGGTTTAGGGTTTAGGGTTGAGGGTTGAGGGTTGAGGGTTTAGGGTTGAGGGTTTAGGGTTGAGGGTTTAGGGTTTAAGGTTTAGGGTTGATGGTTTAGGTTTAGGGTTTCGGGTTTAGGGTTGAGGGTTTAGAGCCCAAGAAATGCCCAAGCTCCCTAAACTCTCAAACTCCCTAACTAGGCCCTTGTTCCCCCTTTTCTTTAGGGTTTTGGGTTCCCTTATATGCCCCTATTTAAAGCAATAATATTGATGCGTGAACTTAATGAATGAGAGAATGAGTGAAGAGAACGAACTACAACCTTAATGTCAGGGAGTTCATGATAAGACCCTTGAATCTAGTTCCTTGGCAGTTAAGTGTCAAAGGTTAGGATTCTCTTGGTGTGAACGGTTAACAGGCCCACAAGGATAGGTTATTTTGGGGGATTTAGGAAAGCGTCCCACACTCGCAGATGTACCCGTGAATGAAGGACGTACGAATATTAGCCCCTTTTACCCTTATCTTCCGGGGCTATAAGTTAATATCTGTACTTCGTGAACACCAGAATTTCAATGAAAGGTGCGAGTTCGTGGATGGACGTGTGAACGCATTAAACATTAGAAACTTGACCATTAAATCTAGCTTCTTTTTCTCTCTTCTTTATTCATTACATCCCGGCCCTATGAAAAGCCCACTTAATAAATATTAAATTAGTGCGCACACGTGTATTTCATTTACAATCTTAATATTATGTGGACACGTGCGTCTTTTAATGTGGCTTTTTCACACGCATGCGCGCATTTATTAAATTTATTGTTTGGTTTCGTTCGTTCACTTATTTGCTTTACTTTTAATATGAAATGTAATGCTGTTATAATATTAGGAAAGGTGTGTAACAACAACCATTACCAGTAAGCATATGAAATGTACGGAATGCATGCGTTTACTGCGTTCACTTAAACCCAATTTAGTATGGTTCTGGGTGTTGAGGCAACTAAACTCCCATCCAGTGTCCTGTTTCCACACATTACACAGAAGGAATGATCAGATTTTGAGATTCTGAAACCCTAAGCCCTAAGCCGTAAACCCTAAACCCTAAACCTTAAACCCTAAACAACTTCTTCCGACTGCTGCGCGGGAAGACGCGGTAAACCCTAAACCCTAAACCCCACAATTTAGGGTTAGGGTTTAGGGTTTAGGGTTTAGGGTTTAGGGTTTAGGGTTTAGGGTTTAGGGTTTAGGGTTTAGGGTTTAGGGTTTAGGGTTTAGGGTTTAGGGTTTAGGGTTTAGGGTTTAGGGTTTAGGGTTTAGGGTTTAGGGTTTAGGGTTTAGGGTTTAGGGTTTAGGGTTTAGGGTACGGGGGGCAACCGAAAGGGGAAGGGAATCAACCCTAACAGTCGCCAGAGGTTTCACCCTGAACCAACCAGCAAACACCAAGAACTCGAAACTTCTTTTTGCTACCAGGCGCATGGCCCAGTCTTGAGCCATGAAGATTACCAGGTACATTGACCCTTCAACTTTCAACACCAACTCTTTTCTACAATACCAACTGCAGCTCCGCACTCCCCCTGTCCTAGGATTTCCTAGGACACACATTGGAGGTGCAGACTTTTGGCCAAAAACCGCCATTAGGGCAGCAGCCAGCTGCTTGGAATGCACATTATGGTTTTACGTCATCCAGGACGAATTTATAGCATATTGGCTAAACACCCTTTACCACAGAGAATCTTTTTTCACCATGATTCCCTTGTCATTGAAGACTCTTCAGTCTTCTTCACCACGAACCGTGGTCTTCGCTACGCAAAAAGCTACTGACTTCTACTATCAGGGATTTCCATACCCTTAATAGTAACCACCATATTTTCAGCACATTGGCTGTTCCAGCGCACCTGTCTTCAGAAAGAGAAAAACCATTCCCTCATCAATACCATCCAGTCACTTCTTCTTCCGATGGGCATCGATACTTAGGTGAAGTCGCAGCAGAACATACTCCAGGTCCGACACTGTAAGAACAGGATCCTGCACGCACCTTTGAATTGAGGATACCAATCCTTCTCTCTTCGCGTCCTCAATTGCTTGGCAAGATTGACCCAGCTCTGCATCCACAGTAGTAGACACTTGCGCATCCACATCAGAGGAACGATCCTTTTCCTCAGGACCTTTCACCACTACCACCTCTTCCTTCTTGGGGCTTTGACTTTTCTCTTTCTTCTTCGTCTTTCCCACGACGCTTGACTTTGTGCGCGTTCTCGAAGAGGCTTTTTCGCCTGCAGAAACCACCGCATTGGATGATGATCCACCCTTCTCAATGTTCGCCGGCATCTTCTTCGGCTTTGGAACCATAAGAGTATAAGGATCCTCGCTAGCTGCAGTTTTCCTCTTCTTTTTGACCTTTTTCACCTCTTCCTCAACGGCAACATCCGTCTCCGAAGTTCCAACCACCTCCTTTTCGGCAGGAATATCCTTGCTGGACTCCCTTTCTAGGGACCTCTTTTTGCCCCTTTTGGGATCTCTCTCTTCTTCAACGTTGGCTCGCTCGAACCATATCCTCAGGTCATTGACCCATTCTTCCACGTCCGCCAGCGAAACCTCATATGACTTCACTATTTCGTGAAGTTCCAGCAAGGACAGCATACCAGTGGTCCATGAACACCATTCTGTATCCATCTGTTCAGCGTCTCCATTGAACTTCAGGAGTTTGAACACTGGGTCCGCCTCTGCACGAGCCAAATCTGACTTGCCATTGGACATAAATGAAATCGCCTCCATCAGCAGTTCTACCATTTTGGTATCATCGTCATAAACCATGAAATCCTCCTCTTCTTCATCAAACCGTTCAGGAGAAATCTCCTTTCCTCCACCTCTTGTACCAGAACTTCTCCTGGGACCATCCCTTGGGGGCGTCCTTGGAGACCTTGGCCTCTGTTCATCCAGCGGATCACCATGCTCAAAGACACACTTGTCCCCATAACGGCACTTCCCAGACTGAGCAAACTGGATACACCTTACACCAGTTGCATTGTGTGAGAACTTACAGTCCTTTCCAGAGAAGCAGTGTCTCCCAGCCACATAGTACTTGCACCAATACGATTGTAGCACCACATCATCTTCTGAATGGATGAATTTGCAATGTTCACCAAATTTGCAGCGATCTTTTCCCCTGCTGAACCAATAGCAGAAGCCTTTCTTCCTCTTCTCCAAACGCTCCGCCTCGTACCGGTCCATAGGGCGATTCTGCTCTACATGAACATTGCCATGTACCTGAGAACTGCTCCCTTCACCCAAGGTGCTATCAGTATTTGATGCTTTGAGTACAGCTGGAAAACCTGGCCTCGGTCCTACCACCTTCATGATTGGTTTTCCACCAACTCCTGAGCCATGCTGAGACGATCCAAAAGCATTGAATATTTTCACGAAGGCCTTTCTAGTGCCGATCTTCTGCACCCTTTTGATTGGATGTTTCATTGCTCCAACCTTGCATCCAGATACATTCGAACGACACAACCTCCTATACCCAGCTCTATATCCCTTTTTCCAAAGAGCCATAAGAATTCTAGAGGCAGTAACATTCTCCACCTCTACCTTTTCCGACTGTCCCTCACTTCCCGGAACAAACCCATCCAACCCATCCATATCTGAAGACCTTTCCATCTTTTTTGACATCACTTCGTCGAGGTAATCTTCAGAGATCCAGGGTAAGTTCCTCTTAGAGGAAAAATCGTCACCATTATCCGGTCCTTCACCAGGATACCCCTTCGTGCTGTCAAAGATCCTACCAGTAGTGCGGTCCTGCGTAGAGAAATCCCAGTTGGAAGCGACACGAGAATACACCGACCACAAGAACATCCTTGTGCCAGCCAATCTTGACGAACCACTGGATGTCTCCTCTTCTGGAGAAACTTCTGGCGCTTTGCCATCCCTTCCAGTGTCACCAATTGTCTCACCTCCAGCATCTTCAATGGGAATAGGGGATTCATTGATCCCTTGATCAAGTACCGCATCTTTCTGTCCGAGAATCTCCAGCATCATCCCTGAAGGATCCACTTCCTCATCAGCATCGTCGTCCATCCTGTTCCAGAGAACCTCCAATTGATCAGCACATGTCGCCGCCTGAAGGAACTCCATCATTTGAGCCTTCCCGCGCTGCCAGAGAAATTCTGAATTCACCACTGACCCTTGGCCTCCTAGGGTAAGGAACGGAGCAACCAATTTGGCTACCCTTGCCATAAGTTCAACGTGAACTTCCATGCCTGGACTACGACTCCAATCGTAGGCAATTGCCTCCATAGCAGTTCCAAACTTTTCAGTATTTCTGAATTCCCCTTCCAGACCAGGAGATAGCAATGCACCCATCACCGAAAGAGGATAATTTCCCACCGCTGGCAAACACGGATTATCATGGAACGAATGATGCAAATCACCATAGTGTCCTTGATCTCTCCTTTGAAAAAGGAGTGTCCCAGTCTCCAGCTGGGCATTCAGTTCATCCACTTGAACCATTTCAGCACATATCCTCTGTGCTGCAGTCGCTATTGCCGGCCAGATGGTACGATCGGTCAAATCGCGACGCGTAACCCAATCAGTTGTTGGCGACTGAATCAGCGTTCGTGGGTCATACACCATAACCACCATTGTACCATCATCCATTGACTGATCATCATCGTCCACCAGTGCCAGGTTCAATTCCTGTTCGCTTGCACCTTCGGGTGACATGCTAATAACCAAATTTCGATCCATTTTATTGGACCCCTTCTGACAGTCCCTTTGCCCCACAGGCAACTTGCCGACAGCAACCTTCCAATAAATCCGCTTCAGAAGGCCTTTAGTAAGCAATTGCTGATGGCCCTTCTTCACCGGACAAACATCCAATATCTTCACACCATCACCACGGAGTTCATTGCTCCCACCTTCTCCCTCTTTTTGGTCAGTCTCCTCGCCAGAAATTTGCACTGCTCCTTCCAGCGCCGTCTC